TTTTTTTTTTTTTTTTTTTTTTTTTGTGCATGAAGGCTCTAGAACTAAGTTGTTATTTCAGGAAGTGAACTAGATCCCACACTTAGATCATGTGTTCATTATCTAAGTACTAAATTTATTTTAAAAAATTGGAGGTCTGTCTGAGCAGTATGTAATAAAATATGATATACCTAAAGTGAACAGGTACTTTGTCTCTTTATTTGGCTTTTGATACTTTATTTGTGTACTGCTCCACAGTGCACCCTTAAAGTATTCTATACCAGTGTTTGTCAAACTGGCATGTGCATACAAATCACTTGGGGGTCTTGTTAAAATGCTGATTCTGATTTGGTAGGTCTAGGATGGGATCTGAGTATCTGCATTTCTAATTTACAGGTGTTACTGAATTACACTTGAATAGTAATATTTTAAACACAAAGTTAAAGGTTTCTTGGTGAAAATAGAAAATAGATGGTGATTAATTGTGTGCTGGGGTATTGTTTTCTTTTTTCCTTTCTCCAGATACACATCCCTTAAAGTTTGAAAAAGGCTGTTCTTCCTTTCTGAGGCCTATTAATTATACTCAACTACATTTTTTTTTTTCTTTCCTTTTTTGAGATGGCATCTGTGATGCCCAACCTGGTCTTGAATTCCTGTGATCCTCCTACCTCAGCTTCATGAGTAGATACAGGTGCATATCACTGCATCTGGCAAGCACCATGGCTAAAACCTCTTGGTTTCTATAGATATTATCTTGTTAAAATGCATAAATATTTCTTGGTAAAATGTGAATGCAGTTTTTTTTTTGGGGGGTGGGGTGGGGGCAGTGCTGTTGATAGTACCCAGGGCCTTGTGCATATGTTTCATCATTGAACTATGTCTGAAGCCCTCATATTGACATAGTAAATACTACATGGCCAGCTTGGCTCTCTGGTTATTCATCTGTCATCTTACCACCAGTAGGTAATCTGAGGTAGTGTATATCCACAGTCACAGGTGTTGGAATTTTCAAGGAGTCCTTTCTAGTTTTCTGGCTTCTAGAAATAGGCCTGGGAAAGATCAGGATAAAGGTAGGCGCCTGCATAACCATTGAGCCACATCCCCAGACCTTTTTAAAGTTTTTTTATATTTAGCTTTTAGCTGTCAGTGGCCCATTTATCTATCTATCTATGTATGTATCTATCTATTTATTTATTTATGTACATGTGTGCTGAGGATCCAACCCAAGGCCTCACACATGTCAGGTAAGTGCTCTACCACTGAGCCACTATCCCTTTTTTGTATTTTATTAGAAACAGGGTTGCTTAGAGCCTTGGTAAGTTACTGAGGCTGGCTTCGAACTCCTGATCCTCCTGCTTCAGTCTTTTAGCCACTGGGATTACAGGCATGTTTCACTGTGCCTACCTAGGTGCCTGGATTTGGATGGAGACTGCTGGCTTGTCTCTAAGTGGGTGCTCCTTGAGGCAGTGCTGGTGAGAGGATAACATTTTTGATGGGGATCATGGCTCCTTCTGTACCCACTTGTCTACATCTAT